CATCATTTTAGATCATCTACACTAGAAAAGGAAGTCACCTATCTGCAGCAGTGCTGGGAGAAATGCATCAATGATAAAATACCMATCCCCACATACATTGTACGCCTTGACCAAATTGACGGAACCACTGAAATCAGGAAACTGTCATACTTAAGCAACACATCTGATCAAGTTAGCCCTCTGAATTGTCCTGATCAAGAAATCAATACTGGCACAGATGATCACGACAACACAGCAAACAACTGTCCTCCCCTAGATAAACCCGAAACCAATTACGATGACTTCAACATCCTGCAATCTACGGAGACATCATTCAACAAATCAGCCCTTGATGATGATGATGGGGTGATAGATATTACACCTGTTCCAGATGAGATTATCTCTTTGAATGACCCCAGACGATGTGCGTTCTCCCCCCGAAAAGCACTATGGGATAAAATTGAAATCTGAGTCATTTGTTCAGAGTCGCGGTTGAGTAAAGGTCATTGTGGAGTCATTGTTTGTATACGCTATCAGTTCTTAAGGGTTTTTGATGGGGATTTCAACTTTGTTTCCCTATTTAAAGAAACACAATTGCGGAAGACACAAAATTAGAAGAATTTCAAAATAAGATTGCTATTGTGGACGCTTCTTGCTGGATTCACAAGTGTTTAGCTACTTCGCTGCAAGGCGCGAAAAGGTGAGATATTTGAGTATCGCGATTCAACCATATATTTTGTGATTTCCATCTCTAAACGATCTGTTTTACTTCCTAGATCTTTAGATGTTTTCGAGAAATACTTAAATTTATTAAAGAACGCCGGAGTTAGACCATATATTGTATTTGATGGGCTAAAGCTCCCAGCAAAGGCGGATGAAGATGAACGGAGAAGAAAGTAAGCTTGTATTAGTTTTGCAAACTTTTGTGGGTTTTACAAATAAGCGCTCGGTCGTTCAAAAGCGATATACATTCCACTAGTTAAAATTTTGTTTTTTTTCTTGCTTATAGTGAAAGAGAGAAGCTTTCCAAAAGAGCATCAGAGGCAAGAAGTGCCGATTTATCAAAGCGGCTTTTGTCGCAGGCTGCATCGATAACATTCGAAGACATATCTGAATGCGTAAAGGTGATAGGAGTTCTTTATATTTTTGTTTTGTATTTACTTACGAAAGTGGTAAAGCTGCTCCGTTTCTTAACATGTTATTTGTTCCGTAACATTACAGATCTGTATAAGCCAAGGTATTCCATACATAGTATCTCCATATGAATCGGACGTCCAAATAACCTATCTGATGCAAAATGGGCATGGTGATTTTGTTATTACAGAAGATTCTGACTTACTTGCCTATGGATGCGAAGAGGTTAGTACTGCTCTGATGTTGCCTTGAAGTTTTAGAGTAATCAATGCTTCTTCCTTTTTAAATTTTGAAAGCATTTTCTGTCGAACAAGCAAATCAACACAGGAGCAATTCACTCTATAATAATTAAGCTTAAATTCAATGATTGTAGTTTATAGTGAAACTTCACCTTGATGGTAAGGGAGAATTTTTTTCTCTCACTGAGGTTTAACAAAATCTCAATGTATCCAAGGATAAGTTCTTGGATTGCTGTATCACAGCTGGCTGTGATTATCTGCGCAATGTTCGTGGCATTGGTATACATAAAGCATTCCAGTTACACTTGGACGATTCATCAGATGTATTTTCCATACTTGACACAAAAGGTGCACCACCAGAATACAAGGAGAGCTTCAAAAAGGCGAAGGCAGTATTCTGCCACCAAACGGTGTTTGATCCAGTCCTTTTAAAGACTACACCCCTTAATGAATGGCCCAGTCAACCATCACAAGAACTTCAAATTTACTGTGGGATGTATCCTTCAATGCTTATCTAATGTTCTAACATATTGAAATGACTTGAACAGCACTGCTTTATAACACAGAAATAAACAGTTTGTACTAATGAACTGAAAATAATATCTTTATTGGCATTAGAGTGCACAAAACAATTCTTAACTATGTAGTGCTAAATAAGATTCAAAATGAAATAAATTAAGATTTCTAGCCTTTGCAAAATTTATCTTTAACAGTATAATGCAGTGCCCTTGATGATAACTTTGCCAATGATTTGGCTGTTGGAAACATTGACACTAAAACTAGTAAAAAACAGCACAATTATCAAAATTCTCACAAGGTTTGTATGATATACCATTAATATGTCATAATGGCCATTTGAAGCATTTACGTCTCACATTTAAATTATCTTGACTTTTCTTCTGCAATAAGTAAACATGAGACATTGCACTGGGACATTAAGACTTCAAAGGACCATAGCTACTCTCATATATTATATTCTCATATTTTTACATTCAGCCAAGTTCTTCAAGGGATGACTTGCCACCTCATCAAGACAATCATGAAAACAGTCAAGGTATAATAAATACTTCAATTTATTAATAGTATTAATTGGTATTATACTGTTAAATTGATCTGAAGTACAACAGAACTGTTCAATCTGGATTTAAGAAGTAGATTGCAAACACTACATTTGTGGGATAGTTTCTCCTGTTTTGTACTAGCCATATTGAAGTGTGTTGACTTTTATTATTAATGATTTTTATTAACTTTCAGATGGATTGGAAGTAGCAAACCTCCCAAAGACTGATTGTATTGTCCAAATTGTTGAAATCAGTGATAAGTGGCTAATTTGGACAATTCAAGGTTTTCCTGTAATGTCACTGGAATTCAATATTGTGAAATTTAGATTTGAAAACAAACAATATACTGGTCTTATAAAGAGAGGTCATTCAGCAAGTATTGGCAATGTGAAGTGCAACAAGCAATGCAATATAGAAATCAATAATGAACGTTTCACAGTACTATGGGAACCAAGGAGATATATTGTTGAAGTGCAACATCCTTCTACAAGTTCAGTAAGTGAACCAGATGGGAAAGAAAATGAATTACATTCACTACCATTTAAGGTGATGGGCACTTGCTATGACACACGCAGGCAAGATGCCCTTATAGCTGCCCGTGATTGTATGTACGAACACAACCGATATGTTTTTGCAAAACTTGAAGCAGAACCAGAGAACTTGTATGATGAGAATGCTATTGCCGTATATCTGGCTTGTCCATCTGAACAATACCTTAAAGTAGGTTATATTGATAAGAATCTGACACAGTATATTAAACCATACCTTGGAAGGTCAGATTTCAAAGTGTCGGTTAGAAATATTAATTTTCGCACAACATATATGTTAATAGGTTTTTATATAAGCATTGTGCTAACAAAAAGGGGACCTTGGCCTGACCCAGTTGTAAAAGCTAGCAAAGGTGTTCGATAATGTTCAGGCATGTTACTTACATGTATACCTTCCAGTGTACTATTTAGAAATAGAGTAGCATTCCATCAACCATGCAAAGAAATACATAAACTTAGTATTAGTTGATAAAGATCAAAATAAAACAACAGATTTGAATTCTACTGCCAACTAAAAATATATTAGTCTTAATATTTTTGCATGGTTAATGGCAATTAAACCACTCTAACTTCAACATAGTTGGTCAATTTAGGAAAGGAAGCACACAAAATTACATTGGCTTTATTAGAGAAACAAAAGTGAGGCACAAATTATAATTATTATATTGGACATAGTCGAGTGGTTTTCATCTGACTGTGATGTAATAGACACTTATAGACCCTAAGTTTATAAAAAGACCTGTTTTCATTTGTTAGGTGACTATTAGAAACTATTAAACAAAGACTGTTTGTAATTGTTTCACAGTCTGAAGAAACCACTCAACATTGTCAACCTAGTAACAATTTTAAGAATGTGTATGAAACACATCCATGTACAAACTCAATTTAGTTATACATGTAGTTTCATGGAAGAGAAAAATTTTCTTATATTTAATATACTTTAAATTTGTAATGTTCATCAAAGACAATATGAATTTGTAAATGTAAATCATAGAAATGTGATGTTGTAGTCTGCAAATACGATATGAATGGAACAGTACTACATAAAGAAAATTATTTATTTCATAATTGTGGTTACATAATTTTAACCACTGATGAAGGCAGTCAATAATGTTGCACGTAGTGCATCTAATACAACATACTTATAGTACTGCTTTGCATAGTGTTTGGACTCTCATTCACTATGGTTTTCTGACAAATTTCGAAAATGTCAATTTTTGATATGAAACAATAACAATAATTTCATAAGTGCAAATGATAAATGCACAAATATATTAGATTTTTGGTGGATACATGTACATGTATTTCACTTATGAAAACAACATACTTGCAATAAATGCAATTCATATTATACCACTAGTTATGTTACAAGAAAAAAAGTATAAAGTGTCTGTGTATTTGCACAATTACTTTTATGGTACATGTTACAGTTACTTGAAATTTTGCTGAAATGCTATCTAGAACAATATAAGTTCACTGTAATAATGCAAGTTATAATATATATATCTTTATACAAGTCATAGTTACATGAAAGAAATTTTAAACTTGATTCAAATGGGCTTGGTATTTTTTCAACTGTGTCTATTGTAGACTTGAAATTAGTTATCTTTAACCGTTAAGAATTAAAAATATAGCCCCTGCAAAATACTTGAGTAACTTCTTTTTTGAATATTGGAAATCAGAGGGACTTTTGGTACCTATAAGTACATTGCTCAGTAAGGCCATAATAAAAGTACAAAATATATTTGCCAAACAAGCTTTTTTTCCCTTTTTATGTGCAAGAAAAAGTCCCTCTTTTTTCTATTAAAGTGTATAATAATTACAACTCACGCCGGGCACGAACGCACGTCAAATGACCCATTTCGACATTCCTTGAGTACAGCGGTTTTCCCTGTGAGTCTACGAATCACTACAAACAGAATGGCGGTCTTTTTCAATACGGAGGAGGTGTTAGAGCAGGTTCTGAGGTCTGAAGACGATTTTGCTAGCGAGGAAGAGGTAGTTTTAGATGAGGAAGACAGCGAAAAAGATAAAATCAGAGAGTTTTTAGGAAGYTACGAGGGTGGAAAGGAATTCGACCGCGAGTTCTTTGTAGAGAAGGCGACAGAAGTCATTTTACCGATTGTAAAAGCTTCTAGAACAAGAACTGATGGTAAGTTGGATATTTCTTTACAAGTATTTGATCTTATAAATACATATCTTCAACCATTTCTGCATGGGAGGAATTAGAGGAATGAAGGAGGTCATTTCTTGATATCAGTTTTTTGAATTAATAAGGCAATAGCCTTTTCATTTTTCAAATGTCTAGAAATCCCTTCATTTGATAAAAAAAGTATTTTATTCAATGTACTGCATGCATTACACTAATTGACATAACAAAAGGGTTTATTTACTACATGATAGAGCTTATGCTAGCATGCTTATTTTTGTCAACATGGAAAAATCATGCCTGTATGTATTTTAATACATTTAAAAATGTAATTATTTATTGAAAATCWWTTAAATATATTGGTAGAAGTGTGTAACTAAATTCATGCTTTGAATTTGCTTATTAGCCGATTGTCTGTGTACATCAACAATATCTGCTGCATCAGTACTGAATGTAGAGGGAAAACTCTGGCTAAAATCAATACACCGACGATTAGGAGGCAGAGTGTCAGTTAAAAAGCCATATTTTGCTGAGGTACAACGAAATATTCCACAGAATATTTTTGATGAAGTAACTCTCATGTTGAGAAGGAGTCTATCCCAGCATTTCCNTCAATAATTCTTACTACCATATACATATAAGTTTGAGTATATAAACACTACTTTAGTTTGCAGATTATTTTTTTCGATTTTGTATTTTTTAGTGCAATTGTGTACAAACAATGTCTTACAGAACAATTGACTTTTAAAATATTGATAGCAAAAAAAGGCACAAGTAGTTTCTTAAATATTTACTTACATCAATAAAGCAATTTATTAAAGCTAGCTTACATGTAAAATGTAATTAATTTAGATGTCAATTTCAATTGGTCAGATCGGTAGAGAATATGTAACTTAGATCACTTCATGGGGAGTTTTCATTCTAAAAACTGTCATAATTCTAGCTTACTCCCTTTTAAAATTTAAATATAATCGAAAGAAAGGTACGGATCTAGAGTTTAAGCTCTTCACAAACGATTGTAAGGACAGTGTCATTTCGGATGTCGCACGATCGAGGCGCCGGTTATCCAAACGAAATTAACTTAAATTATGAACGTAATTTTACTTCAAATCATAAACATCATAACTTCTAGAGATAAACATATATTTCTTAGGCACAATCAAATCACACTAAGCTTATATAAGCTTAATAAAACAATCCCGTGTGTCAAAATCTGACTCGATCTGTAGTGCTGTAGACCCGCGCTCCGACAATGTAAACAAAACCTTCGCTTACCTTTAAATCCAACCGCCTTAGCTGTTCTTCTTTAGCTCTAACTTCTCTCTTCCTCTCCTCAAGATCTTGTCTTTTCTTCTCCAGACTTTCCTGTGCATTTGCTATCTCCTCGTCAAGCTCTTGTATTTTTTCGTTGGTACTAATTAACTTCGCCCTCTTGGCCTTCTTCTCACGCATAAACGTCCCAACACTAAATCGTTTCATCTTGATAACAGACACTGATTGACAGTTATCAAAGCTATATTTTAAAGGTGAAAAATCGCGCGAAAAAGCCTCATACTTGAAAAACTAAAAAGAAGGCGACTCAATACAATGATTTGAGATTTTAGATCTTCATTCTTTGTGATTCAAAACATAAACGACAGAAAGTTAAAACAAGGGTCAACTCAAGACCATATTTCTCGAATCACACAAGACTACATTTTGCTAAACTTTGAAGCTTAAAAAAAAAATGTTGGCTAAACGGCAGCCAAACAAATTTGGTACCAAAACAAAGCCCGCGAAAAGCTCTGTCTTTTCCCGCGTCCCGATTGCTCATGTCGGCAAACCGATGACCACCCGAGGACCCAAAAGAAAAGTCGGTTTGAAATCGTAAATTCGTTACCAGTCCTCAAAAAATAACTCCCGTCCAATATGGCGGGCGTACACGATCGAACTGGGTCATTTGGCGTGCGTTCGTGCCCGGCGTGAACTGTGGTGGTGGGAGTGCAACAGGTGCTCTATGGAAGGTCGCTCGTACTGTAAGTTTGCCCCTCTGAGGAAGGGAGGCTCTGTTGGCCACAAAAACTCCGGGGTCACCCCTTCTTGAAACACTAACCCTATCGAGGCGCTCAACAACTCCTTGACCACTAGGGGCATTGAACGATGGCAAAGCAATATCTCTGTACCTGGCATTGTGTCCAGTCCAGTAATAAAACGGCAAGTCTGGATTTACCCTCTTGGCAAACTCATTAACAATCTTAGGCAGCTGATCAAAAAACTGCTTCAGGTCAAATATTGGGCCAAGAAGCTCATGAAGAAGAGCAAAGAACCCTTCAACATCATCAGTTGAACATGCTCTTGGGTGTTCTGGTGGAAGACCTCTCCATACATATTCTGTTCTTCGTAACTCTCTACTTTCTAAATTTGCCACAAGGCCAACAATCAGTTCACGTGTCAGGCCACAAATGCCTTTAATTGGTCTAAAAAACAGTAAAGAACTGAAATCAATTACTTTTCCCACATTAACGAGGGTGGCAGAAGGGGGCAACAGCCCCCAGTAGATTTTTTGAGGTGGCCTGAAATATTGGACAAATATAATCCTGTGAAATCCTGAAGTTCCCTCCCTACTGTTTTCAATTCGGATAGTGGTTGGGAAAATAGGGGTATGTAGAATCTTTAGCATTTCAATTTACCTATTGACATCAATAATTGAGTAGTCCGGATTAACTCTGTGCCAGGGCATCCAGTCGTCTAGTATCCAATGCTTCATCTCTAAAATGTATCTGGAACGAACATTTTCAGACAGTCCTCGTCCATCTACAGCCTTGTGCCAATTATGAATGGTTCGTAGAACTGTTGCACTATTATTATGGCCCATACGCTCAAGGAATGCAAGAACACCTCGTKATACCATGCGTTCACAGTCTGGGACAGACTGTTTATTTATTCCAGTCAATGCTTCATACGTTAGGCCAGTTGTGGGGTCATGTAGGGCATCACGGAGATGTATCAAGTTTACACCTGGAATGTTCCCTTCTCTGAGGCAGTTGGTAATTCTTTTGAGCAAGTGATTATGGTCCTCTCTGTGATGTATGAGCTCACTTGTCTTCTCATTTCTCTCTGGTTGGTAAAGGAACTTTGTGAAGTCAGCTGGATCATTCAAAGAGCTCTTAAGATCATAAACAGCTTTTCTGTAAATGTAGATGGCTAACAATGACCTCAGCACTTCAGTGGTTGTCTCTTCTCGGCCTAAAATATGAAAGAGTGTCCTCTATTAGACAATAATGTAAATGATCTTGTGCCAGTCAAATAATATACTACACAAACTGAACTAAAATCAATCCAATCTCTATGTAATGTCTTTGCATGATAATATATACAGTATGACTGTTACGTTGTGAGGTTTAAGTTTATATTTTACTCCCACTGTAATATATTAGTCCAGAGGTACCCATAATACATGTACATGTCGGCTTTTAAGATTTAGAATTTCGTCGTACACAGGCATATTATTATTAAAGATTTTGAGTCTTCTGTGTATAAAATGATTATTTGATAACACAGAGGAGTTAAGATGTCAGTGTACAAAACTTTATTTTTATTTTTAATTATGTGTGCTAAATCTTTTTGTCTTTTTTGCTAAATCAAAATCAACAACAAAGTGAATGGTGAACGATGGAGGCTACCCGGACACATGTTGTTACAAGGAAAAAAGGCCACTGTACAATACTACACAAACAAATTTATTTGGACTTTCTATAGTGGCCCAATAATGGAGTTTGATCCCATAGCATTAGTCACACTGTCATACAATTTGTACACACCTGTAACCCAATGGTGTGGTTCATAGTTGTCAGGAAACAGCTTTTTGCGTAGCCTCAATGCAGCAGTGTGGAAAGTATGTGTTCCAGCTCTCATGTCATCATATATCCACCTAATATCTTGCAATGAAAGAAGGTGATACAAAATACTAACCTACTACGATCATCCCCATTTGTGTCATAGCATCTTCCAACTGCTTGGCAAGGTCTCTGGTTTGCGCATCTGTGATGCTTTTGTAGCTGAGAAACTGTACAGGTACAGCATATGGCTTACAGTTCCTGAGTTCATCAGATATCATAAATACTAAAAGATGGCTGGCAGCAGAGCGTTTCTTTGAATACAAGTCCTTTAGATACTTCAGGAGACGTATTTGCAGAGACTGTAAACCCTTTGCTGATGTTGTACTCTCAGGGGAATTGTGCAATGATGTCAACTCATCTATTAGGCATTTGCTGGTTTTAATGAGCTCTTCGTAACCAATGGTATCCCACGCTAGCTCCATCAGCATATTCTGTGCCATACGGGTAGCGCTTAATGCTTTCTCGTATGCTAACTTTGCTTCTCGCTCCCCAGTCAAAAGGAATTCCAGGTCTAACTTCAAACATGTTAACATTCTACAAATGGTGGAACTTTTCAATGATTTAACTTCAGCACATCTGGCTCTGTACTCTGCGTACAGCTTTTGTACTGCACCATCCCCCAAATCTTCATCCCCAGCCCAGACATTACGCATCGACTCTCTAAGGCCTTCCCGAATATCACAGGCATCAGCCTTTATCCACCACCTGCCTTTCGAATTGCTTTCCTGAGCAGCCTTTAGGACATTCATCTAAAGAAAAATGTTACAAGTAAAATACAACAAATTACTTATGACATAAAATTATACAGCATAAATTTGTTATAAGGATTTTGAAGGTACAGCAAGGAAGGCTGATAGAGTATAACACCTGAACTACATGTAAACCACCAAGAGAACCCCAATTGATGTAACCTTATGCAACAAAAATGTTTATCACTCTACCCTATGTCAACAGAGTTCTGGAGAAATTAAGTACAAGAGGCAAAGTTCAATCTTGTTATACATGTACTATATGTAGCTTACCTGTATCGTAACCTCTTTTGTAAAGCCATGCGTTTGGATGTGCTTTTGTATTGTTCTCAACCCTGTGCAGGCCACGTTCACTTTACTCTGTTTCAAAAAACAAGTGTCATATTGTTTAATAAAAATATTGTGAGGGTTAATCAATTTTTAAAAGTTGACACACTCAAGTTTATTTTATGTCTAAATAGCAAAACAAAACATGGTCACAGCTTTTCAATTCACACTGTAAAATACAATGGTTTTTAAAATTTTAGTACAAAAATCATTGGAAAACAAAATGAATAAACACTTTACCTTCAATGGATTATATAAGCCAGAACACACTGGTTTCTTCTTTTTCACAGGTTGTATGCGATGATACGTTTCCATTTTCTCAGGTGACACAAAACCCTCTGAAATCTCAGCTTCCTGTGATGGGGATAAGTGAGTCCACAATGTGGAGACCCGCTGATGTGGTACTTCAGAGGTGTGTTCTATAGCAGCTGAATCTGGGCTATCTTCTACTTGTATAAGGTGCTCGGAGGTAGGCTCCTGGGTATCACTTTCTGGGGCCTGAGAATCAAGCTGGAAACTTGTAAACTGGTCAAGGACCTCTGTAATGTCATCTTGATGGTTGTCTTGTTGGCATTCTGTGTCTAGACTTATGTCACTGGTCGTAAGGGCGTCAGCTATTAAATCCCTTGGCTCCTCGACCTCGTCATATTGCCACATAGGGCCCCGGAACAAACTATACCATTTGTGGCCAAACTGAGAAAACATGGTCTCCAACCAAGCTGTGTAGTGTTCCTCTTGGCCTAGCATTTGAGAGTTTTCTGCAGCAAAGAAGCGAATGTTATAGTCTATGAGACCAAAAGGCATTCTACAAGTGGGTAACCTTGTGCTGTTGTCTTCCAATTTCTTGAAGCACTTCGACAGTGCTAATACTAAGTTGTGTTTTTCTTGTTCCTTTAGTGTTAACATGGCATCGATAGAAGTTTCCAAAAACTCAGAAGACACAAATTTCAACAACTCAAATCCACCAATGTCCATGAGGAGCTTGTTAAAAAGCATTTTGGCGACTTGCTCTTTCATTCTTCTGGTCATGGAAGAAAAAATGCCAGTAAATTGTGAAATGGCATCACCAGTGCTACAGGTATAACCTGCCTGACTTGCAGGCGAGCAGTGCTTAAATATTGGGGATAGGTGGCTTGTGTCTTGTGCAATATTACTCTTATCTGGTGACTCAAAGCTGCTAGCTTAATTCAGTATATAATTGATCTTTAAACACTCCTCTGCTTCTTGTAAGGAGGCATAAGTTTTGCACAAATGCTTCGTGACCCTTGTGCGGCATGATGCACCTGAAAAATAATTACATTACTTAAATTCTTCCATTTTTTATGCACACATACGTACAATATATTTTACTGAAAATATTTGTTCGGGCATATAATCCAATAATAAACGATGATACGTTTATTATTAATATATATTATACATGCACCATTGGTAATTAATAATCAATATTTTAACATTTTATCATGACATTTCTTGACAATAAAATATACAGGCAGAGTTCTCACATGATAATTTTGATGCATAAAGTTGACACTCCTAAACTCAAAAAACATATTCTAAGATCCAGGAGTATGAACACCTTGATATTTATATAACTTATAACAATATTATATAAAAAAAGATTAAACTACACTCTAAAACTGCATTTTTGAAATCTCTTAAAGTAAGAACTTTTTTTTTCTTGAAAAATTAATTTTTTTTCTTGAAATAAGAAAATTTCTTATTTATAATATTATGTCCCCAGATAAGTTTTTTTTGTTCTAAGAGTAAAAAAAACCTCTTGTTGCAAAAAATGCAGTTTTAAGAGTGCTACAGTACAGTAATGAAACAAGAATCTCTAAAAATATCCTCTGAACATACATGACATGATGATTTAATTTTAATTCAACATACCTGTTCTTGAAGATTTACATGTTTTGTTTACGGCTGATGCACACTTACTCCAAAACTTTTCGTCTTTCATTTTGGGCCAATTATTTGTGTATGCATCTTCCCAGTAAAGACATATGTACTGGACGAGGGCCGAAGTCTCCTCTTCAGACCATGGAACGAACGTTGTTCCTTTTGACTCGTTGAGCGATTTTACGTTAAATAGACTTTTTCTTGAAGTTTTAAGTTGTAAATTGTTTTGAAGTTTTTCTTTCGGTTTGCCAGGAGTGTCACCCTGAACGCGATATGACCTCTTGGACGCCATTGTATACGTACATGTATAGCTCAATCATCCTGAAATGTGACGAAAGTTCAAGTTAGTATTTCAGGCTCTAGGAATGGGGAGCGCTTGGGAGCGCTCAACGATTATTAATTGCTGTAACTTGATGAATACATACTTGCTATTATTTATAATATTCTTGATAATGAGCAGTTTTAGCAAAAAAAACTGAACCCTACTCAAGTTTCACACCGAAGCATGCAAAAACATCACACCGAGTAGCAGAGGCAAAATTCAAAAATTAAAAGCGAATTCAATTTTAAAATACATCGAATTTCGAAGGTTGACAAATACTCTTTTCTTTCATGTATATGTTATGAGTTAAAACAACAAATTAAAGGAGTAAAAGGCTCCTGAACTTACCGTTTGAATATCTTGACTTCGCCATCTTGTAACCGAAAGGTGTTAATATGCTATCCCATAGTGCTTTTCGGGGAGAGAACGCACATCATCTGGAATGACCCTGAGAGACAAACTGATCACATGCAACATTCCACTAGTCAAATTATGCAAACAGCAATTACTCAAGAACAACAACCAGGCAATGTTCATGCAGCTGTCAAATCAATGACAGATGCTGCTTCCAACCATCAAAAAGTTGAATTTCAAAGTCGTCTTGGCAAAGCTATTGCAGTAGTACTAGGTGAAAAAGCYGAAGTGTTATTGTTTGAGAGGAGATATATGGAACTTAAGAAACAGCTAAAAAACAAGAGTGCCTGCATGAACATTGAAGCACTGAGATCATTATATACAGAGAGCCTTGCCAGGATACAGGTTAAAATTCTTGCTGAGCAACGAGAGATAAAAAAAGCCTTAACAAAGTGGGAGAGACAGTACATGTTCAAGAATGATCTGTGCTCACCTTCATATGAAGTCATGAAGTCAGATAAAACAGCTTGCAATCTAATAACAAAACACAAATATGCAGAAGCATTACTCAAGGAATGGAAAATAAATTTTTCCTAATTATAAACTGTTTTTCACCATTATAATGAATATGTAGTTGTAATAAACAAATGCTATATGTAAATGAAAGGTTCATGTACACAGAAAGGATGATATTWATAGTATATATTACATGTGAATATAGTACATAACTGCATGCTATGTGGAGTATTTAAGGGTTATGAAGTTACATTTACATAGTAGTTATAGGYTTGAATATGACAAAATGCCTTGAATGAGTTCTGATTATTATCAGCCTGTGTACTGTGAACCTAGTGCAACTTACAAAATAATTCAAAGATATGCCTAAAACCTTGATTATATTAATACAAGATGCTGGTATTTGAATATTTATAATCATGTAAATATTGCTACATTTTTAAAKACATGAATTTAAGCTTATTAAAAGAGGAAGGAGCTGTTGGACTTACCAAAGGTAGTAAAGTGATTGTCCAGTCTGTGATTTTGCAGTCATATAAGCTATGAAAATATTATCGTGATGTTAATACAGAGAAATAARATTCTAGATATAATTCATTTACTAGTATTGTCCGTTGAACTTGAACATAAGATGTACTACATTCACCCGGATGATCATAATGTACATGTTACTTCGATAAACATAAGATGTATGCAGTCGTGTTATAAGCTTAACTTACTTCTTAAATACGCTCTTTAACTTTCGAAATTGGCGAAATATAGCTTAAATCTAGGGTAAATATACATGTCAAAGAAGTGTTCCGGATCTTGTCATGATCAACTGCCTTATGATACAAAATATCACTTTCCTAACTGTTTTTAAAGTTACTGTATTAAGTCTTAACTATCGTGAAGGATAAACAATGCACTCACCTTGAAATGTTCATTTTCTTGACCGTAGAAGAAGGACACAAATTCCAAAATATTCGCTTCTTCGAAATACCCGAAACTACAACTAAATTTCAATTCATATAAACAGTATTTGACAAAATACGGTATAAAATTTCTCTCCCCGTCGCGAGTCCCATTGGACGCCATTAAAATGCAGTTGACTGTTGCTAGACAACGGGTCCCAGACCCCTAGCGCAATAAAACTCTGCTGGGGGCTAATCAGTCTCTGAAAGCCATGCCTTAACTTCGCTGAGTGGATGCTCAACGGAAATTTTCAAAAAGACCCCTAAACGATCCCGGAAGTCTTGAAACAAGAGCGTAGCTGACTGATTTTTAACCCCTAAGAGATTGCACAACAAATATTGTTAAATTAAATCAGTTCCAACGATAAAATGTATAAATTGTATATATATTGCTTCATATGCAAGAAATCGCTAGACATCTCACCTGTTGCGTTTTTGAAAAATGCCGAGGAAAATCAATAGTGATGTGCTCTTTCTATCTTCTTTTCAGACACCCTAAGAGATTTGCAGAAAATGCAAATTTCCAGGAACTTCAAATTAGCACCCTAAAAGATTCAAAATCACGAATTTTTACCCCTAAAAGATCCGACGAGCATCCCCGGTACT